AATTGTGAATTGTATCATGAAGTAAGGAGCATTTGAAATGTATCTTGCAAAATAAGTAAGATTTGGAATGGCTGTCATAAGATGAAGAGGGATGCATTTCAGAAGAGCTATTTAATGAGTCATGACCAAAGATCAAAGAGCTTCACTGCAAGAATACATCCAAAATTAAACTAATGAAGGAGATCCTGGTAGAATAAATGAGAACAAAATATTCTTTAACTCCTGACATGGATGATATGTCTCAAAGGATAATCAAGAGGACCTAATTAGATGAGCAAAAGGATGTGTTCATGGTTGAAAAGGAAATATTATCTTTTGCATTAATGGAAGACCTATGAGTAAGAATGCCAAAATTGGAGAAAAAAAGAAAAAGCTCTCTAGAAGAAAGATTTTTTAATGCAAATAAAAATATGGTACATATGAGTAGTATTGGTTATATTTTTGTGTTGGTAAATTGCTGTATGAATACAAATAATTATGTGTAAATCATTAAAAAACTAGTGGTAAATAGGAGACGTTAGCAACTGGGAAATGCTGGTCAATCAACAATTTATTGAGCCACTTCTCTTCTGTTTACTGTAGAAGATACAAATGAAACAGCAAGTAAGATTCTTTACCTTAAAAAGCCTAAAATTCAATTAAAGGAATTTGATAAGCATAAAACTAGAAATCATAAATACACAACAGATTCTAACAAGTGAAATGTACAATTACACGTTTTTTAAAGAGGATATCCCAGAGAAGACATAGTTGACTTAGATATGAATATTAGGTGGAAGGAAGGAATTCTATGTGAAAGTACCTTTAGCAAAGGAATACGTGTTCTGTCAAGTATGATAGATTCACAGAACGGCTAGGATGCCAGAAGAGCGAAAGTGAGGGCATGTGGCGGGGCTAGTTAGTCAGTTGTAGTGATGAGAATATCGGGGAGAAGCCTGCAAGACCAGGACCATTTAGAAATAAACTAACAGATGATATGAAGGTGGGATAAACTTTTAAAAAGGGAAATCACATGAAAAAAATTTCACTTTTTTTTCAGTGTATAAGGTTATCTGGGCTGTACATATAAATGAAAAACAAATAGTTCCTACAGCATTGTTAAATAGTCATTGCTTCATTTCCTTAATAGCCTCCCTCTCTACTTATATCATTTCCTCTGTTCCCTACATTTATGCATGCGTACACACTCTTACAAGGTCATATTTTTTCAATCTTTTATGTTTTTAATTTGCCTTCCTTATAATATTTCTTATAAAACCATTGTGGATTTTACTCCCAGGTCTTTTTCTTTATGCACCTAATCTTACAGTATTTAATGATTTCTGAACTCCTGTAAGGTTTGTGTCTTTAACATCTCTCTTCTATCTTCACCTGTAGTGTTTAAATACCATCATGAAAACCATCAAGTTTTAAATCTTTCAATAGGTTCTGTAGTTTATTTATTCCTACCATCTCCATTCCAGTATATGGGAACACAAGAACTATCGTAATTTTTTGTTGTTGTTGGTAACTAAAAAAAAAAAGACAGTGTAACAATAAACAGTAACATGCTGGACACTCTGCAAAAAAATTTACCCACATTATTTAACCAGCATTATTTAACCAGCATAATTTATCAAGCAGGAATTATTATCCTCAATTTACAGATGAGGAAGCAGGGGATTAGATAAATTAAATAATCCACCAAAGATCACACAAGCCATCCATGAAGAGGCAGGGATCCACACTTCGGGCTTTCTGACTTGAAAACCCCTGCTTTCAATCCCTAGACTACACTATCTCAGCCCTGATCATGTCTGTTCAAACTCCAATCAGGTAGTGTTTTTAACGAATACACAAAGTTAAAAATAATTAAAGATGTCCTTTTCAAGAATGGTATTTAGGGGATTTCTCTGGTGGTCCAGTGGTAAAGAATCCACCTTCCAATGCAGGGGATGCGGGTTTGATCCCTGATCAGGGAACTAAGATCCCACATGCTGCAGGGCAACTAAGCCCACTCACCACAACTACTGAGCTCGTGCGCCTCAACTAGAGAGCCAGCATGCCACAAACTACAGAGCCCACATGCTCTGGAGCCTGCACACCACAACTAGAAAGAAGCCTGCACGCCGCAATGAAAGATCCCATGTGCCGCAACGACGATCCTGTGTGCTGCAACTAAGACCTGATGCAGCCATAAAAATTAATTAATTAAATTTAATTTTAAAAATGCAAATGAAAGCTTACGAGATAAAAATTAAAAATATATTTTAAAAAGAATGTTATTTAGATACGGCTATGAAATATAGTGATTTCCACGGTTTATTTATTCCACAAAAAAGTATTGAGTCTTAACCTCTTAGAAACACTCTGTTTTTTACATTCCAAAAAAAGCTATAACTTGTGTGATGTATATGATACAAAAGCTTCAGAAAAAGCATTCAGACAGATAAGGATATTTAGTTTAATTCACTTGTTCAAAAGGGCATTTGGTACAGAAAAGGAAGGAGGAAGGGAGGAAGAAAGGAAAGGAGGAAGGAAGGAAGAAAAGAAAGGAAGGAGAAAGGGGGAAAGGCAGAAGAGAAGGAAGGAGAGGGAGAGATCTACTGAAAAAGAATAAACTTCATGAGTTGGTTAAATGACTGCATATAAATAGCAAAATAGTATAGGATGAAGATAAATGTTAACAGAAAGCTTCAGGAAAAACAACTAAACTCAGAATCATAGCAGATTAAAAAACAAATAAACCTGCATGGGACTTTGTAGTATCTGATGCATTTGGGGGTGGGTGGGTTCAGTGAAAATATAGTGGGCAGGGCAGGGGGTTAAACAGAAAGATTTAGGAAGAAGAGTACAGAATAAATAAAATCACTAGAAGACTCCCCGTGTTTTGTTTTTTTTTTGCTTTGCTTTTTTTTTGGCTGCGACCCGCAGCATGCGGGATCTTAGTTCCCCGACCAGATATCGAACACGTGCCCCCTGCGGTGGAAGTGCAGAGTAGTAACCACTGGACCACCAGGGAATTACCTAGAAGACTCGCCTTTTGCTTGCTGACTTTGATAAAGTCTGAATGTTCTGAATAAATCCATTCTCCCCATACCTCTCAACATCCCCTAAGTCAATAGTTTCCATACTAGAATAATCTGATCTCAGTTCCCTGTCCCTTTACTCAAGGAGACGACTCCTGATTTCACTGACAGGACTTGCAGGACTGTGGTCCCGATCTAGGGAGAAAGGTGGTCTTCCTCACTAGCAATGCATTTCACCTCCATTTATCACCTGAAAGTGTGAGAGTTGTGTGTAGGTCTTTTTCTTTCACTCAAGCCTGACGTACAATATATAGCAGGGGTTTTGTCAGGAGCTTTACTCTTGAGAATAGGAGGATGGATGAGAAGCTACATTATGGCTTTCTGAAAAGTCCTCAGTAGCACATCTGGAATAAGCAAGGGATTAGAAATATGTCCACTTTGAAGGAAATGACTTGTGTTTCTCTTGAAAGGCTCGACTGCATGAATAGGGTATAAATGCCCTGAAGAGGCAGAGGAAGATCCCAGACAGGTCACCAAGAGTGAAAATAGTCCCCAAAAGTTAATTCATGCAGAAGGGTTGGAAAACATCATATTTTGTAATGTCAGTTTCTATTACGTCATATGTTGAATAGTGTCAAAATATAGCCTAATGAAATAAAACTCAAAGCTTAAAATTATTTAAATAACTTCCCAACTCTAAGTCATTCTAAGATCTCTAAGTAATCATGTTATTTTCATGGGTTTCTTATCCTCTTTCTTTTAAAAGTCTCAAAATACATGTTTCAAGGCATCAGGTGGTTTTTGTTGTTGTTTTGGTAAGAAAGTACAGAATGACCCTTTGACCTCATTTTAACATAGGGAGAATCGGAATCACAAAGAAGTCAAATGCTTTTATTTGGCCACAGCAAAAGGTCACCAGATGAAGAAAGACAATTTGAGGGTCTGATTTCTTCCTCTGGATTATAAAGTTCACACAGTAGTAAAGAGAGCAGGAAATTTCACAAGCATACTGGGAAGACAAATCCTGAGTGCAGCTCCACTAGAGTCAAGCGCTCTGCCGCAAACTTGTTTCCTCATCCACTTTAAGATGTACTAACTTTTAAAGAAATATTGAGAAGATAAATATATAGTTCCCAAACATAAAGAATTCCTGAACTTTTGGAGCTATAATGCCATATCACTGATTTTTGTGACACTCTATCTTCTCAAAGTCCTGCCTCAATGACCTTTTTTAAAACATTATGTGTCATCTTTTTGCTAGGATTCTAGGGTTAAACACAATTATTCTACAGTTTAAAGTATCCTCCCCGCCCTGGGCTTTAGAATATATTTGTTCATTCATTCTCTGTCTTCTTCTCTCTCTTCCTTACCTCTTCCTAATACTTTTGTTCAACCGCTATTTTTGTTCCTTACTCCCTGAAACCATAATTGTAAACAGTTTACTTTTAGATTTGAAGCAGATTGATGTTAGTGGTATTTTGTGCAACAGGCAGCATTGTATAGCGGTTAACCACACACACTCTGGAGGCAGGCTGTCTAAGTTTGCTTCCCTGTTTCCCCACTTATTAGCTGGGTAACACAGGCAAGACTTGCATAAGTTAGGCCTTTCTTTGCCTCAGTGTCCTCATCTATAAAATGGATATAATTATAGTACCAACCTCACAGGATTGTGTTAAAGATTAAATCAGTTAATGGGCTTCCCTGGTGGCGCAGTTGTTGAGAGTCTGCCTGCCGATGCAGGGAACACGGGTTCCTGCCCCAGTCCAGGAAGATCCCACATGCTGTGGAGCAACTGGGCCCGTGAGCCATGGCCGCTGAGCCTGCACGTCCAGAGCCTGTGCTCCGCAACGGGAGAGGCCACAACAGTGAGAGGCCCGCGTACCGCAAAAAAAAAAAAAAAAAGATTAAATCAGTTAAGATATAGAAAGCTCTTAGAGCAGTGCCTGGCATATGTTTTCATTGTGTTAGTTATGGCTGTTTTTGTTCCCCTAGTCCATCACCTCGCTAAATTGTTAGGAGCGGATCAGAAGTTCAAAGCTGCTTATGGTCGTCTTGCATCTTCAAATCATGCACAGAATGATGCCCTACCAGATTCTAACCCAGAAAAGTTTGACACCTTGACACATGCATTCTTTGGCGACCAATGGCGTGTACGCGGTCTTGGCTCATCTGAAGACCCCTTGTTGATTTTGCATCTGGACATAGTGGGCCAACATTTTATGATGTACAAGGTGTCACTAAAGCCTGCACGGGCTCCTTCGATCATAGGAAGATGACAGGTCTCATTGTTCCTGCAGGGGAGCAGACACAGACACCAAATGATTTAACTCTTTCAAGTGAGTAACATCCTGATTTGGCTTCTGCTTTGGAAGATGAGCTTCCCTAAGCTACATAGAATCAAGTAAAAACTGTATTATCAGTAAATGTTTATTGACTCTGCCCCAATCCCCTCCAGACCTTCATTTCTTCTCTATGATAACAAGCATAACTTTCTCCGTAAAACAACTACATCAGTGTTAAGAGTCTTTGTTATTCCCATGAAGTGTGTCTACATTAGCTGCTTTAAAGTTTCTTCTGAATCATTGCTTTAAAACATATTCCCAGACAACTTTAGAAAGTAATATTCTATTTTTTATCCTATACCCACTGATGTGCTGTACAGAAAAACCCCAAACTTGTCTTGTATTAGAACAATGTTGTTGACATTGATGAAATTCCAGAAAGGGATTATATGAAGACTTTATCATCCAGAACCATGCAAAAAGCTTAGACTTTTGGTGGTTAAAAAAAAAAAAAAGGCAATATCTTCATCATATTCAAAACAACCTGGTAACATTTCCCTATATATGTAAAACACAATGATATATGGAACTTGCACTGTTTTCAAGCATTTTTGTATGCATAAAAACAAAGTAACAAAAATGATTATATACAGGTAATTTTACAAAAGAACACTTTCCTCCATATCAGTTTGGTGAGCTCTCACCAGGACACAGTATCCTGTACTGTTTCATAAATTTAGGGCAGAGACTCTATAATACTCAAACTTGTAACTTCAGGAGGAAGTGCTTGGAATATTGTAGATAGTCAACAAATGCTTATGAAATAAATAAGTGAATAAATATCTAGGTATACTATTTGGCTGTATTTAGCACCATTGCTCTAAAAACTAACAACCTATTCCAAATTATAAGCAATGCCTCTATTAGAGGAATGTCTCTAAGGGTCTTTCTCCTGAAATTAAGAACAACAACTATTCTTCCTAGTTGTATTTTCAGGTAATACTATACTAGGTTACACCAAACTTACTCGCTTAACCAGATCACAGCAAAGCAAAATCATTTTCTTTTTTTTTTTTATCTTTATTGGAGTATAATTGGTTTACAATGGTGTGTTAGTTTCTGCTTTATAACAAAGTGAATCAGTTATACATATACATGTGTTCCCATATCTCTTCCCTCCTGCGTCTCCCTCCCTCCCACCCTTCCTATCCCACCCCTCCAGGCGGCCACAAAGCACCGAGCTGATCTCCCTGTGCTATGCGGCTGCTTCCCACTAGCTATCTACCTTATATTTGGTAGTGTATATATATCCATGCCTCTCTCTCGCTTTGTCACAGCTTACCATTCCCTTCCCCATATCCTCAAGTCCATTCTCTAGTAGGTCTTTGTCTTTACTCCTGTCTTACCCCTAGGTTCTTCATGACATTTTTTTCCCCTTAAATTCCATATATATGTGTTAGTATATGGTATTTGTCTTTCTCTTTCTGACTTACTTCACTCTGTATGACAGACTCTAGGTCCATCCACCTCATTACAAATAGCTCAATTTCGTTTCTTTTTATGGCTGAGTAATATTCCATTGTATATATGTGCCACATCTTCTTTATCCATTCATCCGATGATGGACACTTAGGTTGTTTCCATCTCTGGGCTATTGTAAATAACAAAATCATTCTTTCTTAAGTCTATAATCAGTTCTTATTTTGAAGAGATACAAAAATAATGCCCAAGATAAGTTGAGGGGAGAGGGGTAGCATTAAAATGTACTGCAAGTTAGCTTCCAATTAAAAAAAAAAAAAAATTGCTTTGTCACAAGTCAGAAGCATTTTATCTTCTTTAAAAAAAAATGATTTGAGGGACTTCCCTTGTGGCACAATGGTTAAGAATCCGCCTGCCAATGCAGGGGACATGGGTTCGAGCCCTGGTCCTGGAAGATCCCACATGCTGTGGAGCAACTAAGCCCGTGAGCCACAACTACTGAAGCCCGCGTGCCACAACTACTGAAGCCCATGCGCCTAGAGCCCATGCTCTGCAACAAGAGAAGCCACCGCAATGAGAAACCCTCACACCGCAAAAAGAGTAGCCCACGCACTGCAACGAAGAGTAGCCCCTGCTCGCCGCAACTAGAGAAAGTCCGTGTGCAGCAACGAAGACACAATGCAGCCATAAATAAATAAATTAATTAAAAAAATTATTTGAAACATTTTGACTAATGTCGAGGTTTCCAGTGAAGAAGAATCTCATAAATGTGCTGGTTTAGATGAAAGATGAAAACAGAATAAGAAGAACCACAGGATGAATAATCTGTATCTCTGATGCATACTGATTTATTGTTTTAAACATGTACCAGCAGCAAGGGAATTCATTTGACCTAGAGGAGATACCAGTTCTCATTTCTAGCAACTCCCTTTAACCTGTTTGAAAGAACTATTTTGTATTACATTGTTAAAATCAAATAAACATTTAAATGCTGTAATCAAGGCTCAAAATAATGATAACTAAAAGATAATTTATGAAGAACCATTGTAAATTAACACCTCTCACATCAAGAATATGTGTGAACAGAATGAATAAGAAAAGGAATCGGAAGGAAAAGGAATCTGTAACTTGTAACTTCCATATGCTGATAAAGGTTTAATTAATTTGAAACACAATCTGCTGAAAAAATTTTAAAGTTTTTGTTTAAAGTTATAGTACTAAGTGTTCTCTGTATATGGAAAACTGCCACCAGTGGCCTGGACCACATTTAAATTTTAGGAAGCTTAGCGGCTTATGTTCAGTGTCACTTCAAAACAAATACTATTCTAACCCTCTCAAGTTATGGGAGGGTTGATGCTTGCTTCAAGGTGTAAGGAAGAAAAACGGGGGAAGAATGACTGTCAAGTTACTATGCATGTTTGGGCTTCCCTGGTGGCGCAGTGGTTGAGAGTCCGCCTGCTGATGCAGGGGACACGGGTTTGTGCCCCGATCCGAGAAGACCCCATATGCCGCAGAGCGGCTGGGCCCGTGAGCCACGGCCGCTGAGCCTGCGCGTCCGGAGCCTGTGCTCCACAACGGGAGAGACCACAACAGTGAGAAGCCCGCGTACTGCAGAAAAAAAAAAAAAGCTGCACGTTTGTTGAAAAACTTACTTAGATATGGCAATTTTTAAATTAGTTGTAAGGACTCTAATTATGTCTCTCAGCATTTCCTCGTGAGGGGAAGAGAGTACACATTTGTATTGTGGTATTTTCAGAGCCAGAAATATTTAAATCCCTTTGGGAGTGAACAGTTGATGAAGAAACAAGGTCATGGGTTTTCAGAGCTGCTTCCCTGGGCCCTGGACCAGCAGGTGGAGTGCTTTTCTGGACACAGATTATCATCTTTTCTCACTCTCCTGAACCCCTTGGCAGTTATCTTGTGAGACAAGAATAAATGGTGTGGAGTCAGGTCTGATATCTCCTTTATATGAATGATTTCCATAAAATTTGGAAGAGTAATGAGTATCAGGGGCCAAAGATTACAAAACTGGAAAAACTTTTCATAGGTAAAGGATAAAATCAGCAAAATCATTTCATTTCATCTCTGACAGTTTCTAAAGCATACCTTTTGGAGGTGCGCTTGAAATAAAATTTTACATTTTTTCTCACCCTTGAAAAAAAGGGTTTTGTCTGTTTTTGGTGCTTCTGCCACCCTGATCTGCAATCCGTAGAAAAATCAATGAGCTGCTTTTGCATTTGATACATATGTAGGGAACAAAGCACTTATTACAAGTATGGAAAAGAATGGCTATGGTGAAAATTTGCAGCAGTATAGCCAACATAATTTCCCTAAAACTCAGTTACTGTGGAAAGTGAATTTGTTTACACAAATTCTAAAATTCATGTAACAGAGCAAAAATTCAAGAATAATAGACTTGTCCTAACAGATACAGAGACTTGCTTTAAATCTATAACAATTTAGAAAGTGTGGTATTTGTGCAAGGAGAAGGAAATAGAGCAATTGAACAAAATTAAGAGCCCAGAGACAGACTCAAGCATAAATGGAACCTAGATATAAGATACAGGAGGCATGGCAAATCATAGCCCTAATCATTTCAGTTCCTGAACACTGCTCTCTGGTTCTTGCTGCCTGACACCCTTCACTGGCCCTCTCACATCATAGCAATTTACTTCAAAGGAGCAGAATTTCTCTCATGCTTTGAATCTTTCTTCATGAACAGCTCAGTTCCTTTTAAAGGCTCACCTGATTAGGTCAGGCCCTTTTGGGATAAGTTATTTTTCCTTTCCTTCCTTCCTTCCTTCCTTCCTTCCTTCCTTCCTTCCTTCCTTCCTTCCTTCCTTCCTTCCTTCCTTGCTGTAATGTGGTATAATTGACAAATAAAATTGTAATATATTTACAGTGTATAATGTCATAATTTTATATAAATTGTAAAAGAATTCCCAAATGAAGTTAATTAACACACCCATCATCTCAGATATTTATTATTATTTTTTGTGACAATAATTTTAGCAAATTTTAATGATACAATACAGTATTATTAACTGTAGTCACCATGTTAGATCTTCAGACCTCATTCATCTTATAAGTAAAGTTTGTACCCTTATACTAACATTTCCCTATTTTCCCCACCCTGCAGTACCTGGCAACCATCATTCTACTCTCTGTTTCTGAGTCCGATGGGGTTTTTTGTTTGTTTGTTTTAGAGTCCATATAAGTGATACCATGTAGTATTTGTTTTTCTCTGTCTGGCTTATTTCTCTGTCTAGCATATTGCCCTCCAGTTTCATTCTTGTCACAAATGACAGGATTTCCTTCTTTTTAAAGGCTGAATAATATTTCATTGAATGTATTTAATACGTTTTCTTTATCCATCCATCCAGTGATGAACAATTAGGTTGTTTCCCTACTTTGGCTATTGTGAATAATGCAGTGAATGTGGGAGTACAGATATCTCTTCAAGATAGTGATTTTTGTTTCTTTTGGATATATACCCAGAACTGGGATTGCTGGATCATATGGTAGCTCTATTTTTAGTTCTTGAGGAACCTCCATAGTAGCTGTACCAGTTTACATTCCTACGAACAGGGTACAAGGGTTCCCTTTTCTCTACATCCTTGCCTGTATTTGCTATCTCTCATAGTTTTGATAACAGACTTCTAAGAGGTATGAGGTGATATCTCCTTGTGGTTTTGATTAGCATTTCCTTGATGATTAGTGATGTTGAGCACCTTTTCCTATATGTGTTGGCCATTAGTAGGTCTTCTTTGGAAAAAATGTCTACTCAAGTCCTTTGCCCATTTTTTGAGTGGGTTATTTGGGGTTTTTTGCAATTGAGTTGTATGAGTTCCTTGTATATTTTTGACATTAATGCCTTATCAAATATGTGGTTTGCAAATATTTTCTCCCATTTCATGGGTTGCCATTTTAATTGATTGTTTCTCTTTTGTTTCTTGTTTGATTTAGCCCCACTTGCTTATTGTTTCTTTTGTTGCCTTTGTTTTTTGGGGTCGTATCCAAAAAATCATTGCCAAGACCAGTGTCAAGGAGCTTACCCCCTATATTTTCTTCTAGGAGTTTTATGGCTTCACATCTTACGTTCAAATCTTTAATCCATTTTGAGTTGGTTTTTGTGTATGCCGTAAGATGGGGTATACTTTCATTCTTTTGCATGTGGCTACCCAGTTTTCCCAGCACCATCTATTCTCCTATTATTAATATCTTACATTAGTATGGTACATTTATCACAATTCATGAAACATTACTGATTCATTATTATTAACTAAAGTCTACACTTTATTCAGATTTCTTTAGGTTTTTTTCCCTTAGTTAGGGTACCTGAATGTCTCTTTTTCTGGTCCAAGATTCCATCCAGGATATCACATTATATTTAGTCATGTCTCCTTAGGTTTCTCTTGGGGGTGATAGTTTCTCAGACTCCCCTGGTTTTTGATGACTTTTTGAGGGGTCATGGACAGCCAACTGAAAGAACCCCCAAATGACCAAAGCTGGAACAATTTGGGCTACAAAATAAATGAATACTGGATTATAACCCAAAGTATAAAATAAGTATCCATAGTGATGTACATGAATGATTGATTGGTTGAATGAATGAATAAGTTAATTAATTAATAATAA